AGGGGACGTCCCTGAGCAGGGAAACAGAGGTCAGGGTCACCCGGGGCTCATGGTATGTGTTGGGAGACACCTCGTAGTAGCCCATGTCTTGAGCTCTTGGGGTCCCATTGCTGGGGGGCTTCTCAGCCAGAACTGGAGCAGTCCCCTCCAAGCAGTAGCATCCTCTGCCTCCCCTCTGCCCACCCTCCTCTGCAGCGGCCCCGCCACCGCAGCTCTGCAGCCCAGAGGTGGCAGCATTTCACCGGTGGGCAAAGCAGCCCAGCACACAGTGGGGACATTCATGGGGATAAGTGCTTTGGGATCTTTTTGGCCAAAAGCACTGTGTAAAAAAAAAAAAAAAATTAGGGTCATAAGGTGTCTGGGATTTTTGAAGAGCCAGTGTAACAGTGGTCTTTTATTATTAGTGAGTTTACAGCCAAGAGCTGTCCCGTAAATGAGCAATGCGATTTAGGGATTATTTTTTTTTCCTTTAAAAGCAGGAATGCTTGAGACATTAAAGGTGGTCTGGCAGCTTTTGCTGTGAGACTTCTCTTCATGTTGATCTGTGCACTGGCTTTGTATCAACACGAGAGCACCACGTTCTTGCAGACAGGCAGGGGTCAGCGCTGTGTTTGAAGTGGACCGCACGCTGCTCCACGCAAGAGCACAGTTCATGGTGTGGGGAGAGGAAGAATGTGACAGAGTGTTGGCTGTATGGACTATGTGAGCTACATGCCATTAGTTAGAAAAGATGCAAGTGTGGAATGCATAGTTTGCACATAGCTTGCTATTATTTATTTACTTTGGAAGGATGGGGAGGAAGATTAACTAATGCCCATGAGCCCACCTGAGGTAGCTCGGGTGTAGGTTTAGGAGCCAGGTTAATAGCAGGTATGATGAGATTTTTATTGTGTCATTGCCTGGATTAGTGTTAGAGTACGGACAGCCTCAGGTCCTTGAGCTTATTTAAAGACCTTCATATTTTCCGTCAACAGCTGTATGAAGTTAGGGAAAGGGAGGCCATGGGATTTCTCTTTCTCAGCTAGTTTATTTGTGAGGTGGTGAGGTTAATGTGGCAATATCCTATGCTTAGTAGAGAGGCTTTTTGGCTTTAAGCATTGTGTGTGCTCCCTTCAGATTTATGATTTTGACCCCAGCCTGGCATTATCACACTGTCAGTGGGAGTATGGAGCTGGTTGGAACCTCCAGCTCTTGGTGGTAATCTCTCTTAATTAGTTTACAGTTGAAACAATTGTCCAACTTCTTGCCTTTAAACAAGGGAAGTTTGCTCTATCAGTGGTTGATTTCCCTGAGGGAGGAAATCCTGAGGGGGGTTATCAGGGAAAGAAAAGCTCTGGGCTCCACTTTCAAAGCAATGCCATGTATGAAGCATGCATCAATCCTGTTAGTACTGCTTATTATTTCACAATGGCCTGTCAGGAATTACAGGCACAGACTTTTCTAAGGACTCTTGCAGACCTTTATGCACTCTCATCCTGAGTCAGGATTTTGTGGAATTATGTGCTAATAAAAGCTAATTTTACACGTTGAAATTGCTCTTTTTATCTTTCCCTGACTTCTCCACAGATCTCTTCTAGCCTTCTAATTGTCGACTTTCTGCCAGGGAGCCCTCCATGCCTCATGATTAGGACTAAAATCTGCCGTCAGTTAACACACAGAGCTTATAACTGGGAGCAGCCCCCTCCCTTGCCTGGGAGCACAGACAGTAATAGACACTATAGTAGCAGCACCAAAGGGAGTTTTAGTGTGTATTTTAATGACTTGTGCTTGATTACATTTGCTAGATTGAACTGAAGTTCATTTAGTAATTGGTATGATTCTTACAGGGTACACATTTGACATTCCTCCCTCATTAAAGAGCTCCAACAATGGCTGTTGCAACTTTCATCTCAAGGGTGACCCTCTCAGATACATATCCAGTCTTTTTCTTTTGATAAACCACCCAACCCGGCATTCATTAACACTTAACCATCTGCAGCCAGCCCCTCCTAGTACCTTCTCTCTGGCTTTGATGATATAATTAAAAGCCTTCTGCATTATCTCCCTCAAAGCAATAAGTCTAGGTGCGTCAGCTCCTGCATTGTTTGTTATTCGATTCTCTCCGTATCAGCTGTTCTTGCGACGCGCTCATTTTTCATATGTTGTAAAGATTAGCTGATGGAGTGGGAGATCAGAGGCATGAGACGGGAGTGTGGCTCTCCATATTAGTAACCAGATGCTCATTTGAAATGGTGGTGGGGTTTGCTGTTATCTGTTAGATTATTTGGCTCCTTTGCTTTTACCTGAAGATAAACTGGTTTAAGCACTAGTCAATGAAAATGAGCATCATCTTTAGTGCCTTGTTATGACAGAGTGCTCTTATCAGACTGGTTTAGTGTGGCTATTCTCTTCTTGAGCCTGGTTTACAGAAATCACAGCTTTGTTTATGCATGTGCCCAGACTTGCCTGTTTGACCTTTGAAGCTGTGATTATAATATTAATCTATGGGACTATTCTGTTGCAAATCACTTAGGTGGTCCGTATTTTAGAGGATTTCATTGTGGGACCTCCCTCTTGTCCAGCATGATGTTCCATTATTGTTAGTATATTCTGCATTGAAAGCTAGCTCAGACTGATGTTTCAGTACATCTTCTGTCTGGCTGCTTTTTGTGGGGTTTTTTTTTTGTGTGTGTGTGTGATGGAAGAGCTGAGATAGCACCATGCTATCCACTGATTTTGTATAACTTTATAAAAAAGTTGCTTAGGTACAGAAAAACTTGGTACAATGCTTGCATGCAGATACAAACTTCAGCCCACAAATCCTCAGTGTCCTGTGGTGTAGCTAAATAGCACTATTCCAGTTTGCAGGTGGGAAGACTGCACGTGTCAGAGCCACACAGACACTGGCAACAGAACCAGCATTTACTGGGAAATTCCTGTTTTACAGCGTTGCTTGATGCCTAGTCCCTGCAGCCTTCCTCTGCCTGGTATTTAAGGGGGAGTGTATAAAAGATCTTGAATAGGAAGAGAAAAAACTGGCATTCCGACACTAAAGAAATTTTGTCTTGTCATCTTCAGGTTAGGAATTGGATTTTTTCCTCCCATTTTTGCCTCTCCTTCCTATGTTCCATCTGTTTCTATATTTTTACATGTTTACTGCCTGTTCCATTAATTTGTTAATTTTCCCAGTAAACTATTATATTCATTACATAAATACAAAGGAACCCTTCTCAGAGAAGATAGGAAATTTTTCCCTCTCATACATACACAAAATGTGGAAACCATTCTCAGGATGCAGAGCAGGAGGGAATCTGCTGACTTCCAACTGCAAGATCTCATTAAAATTAGTGGATTCCCTATCCTCTTTGCATAAGGAACATTGCTATTTGGGCTGCCTTCCACAGCAACATCTGGGCCACTGATAAAATCAGTACTGGAGCATTGCTAGGTGAGCTCATGTTTTGTTAATGAAGTAATCTACTGAAAGTGCATATATCATTTTCGAGGACCACATATTTCACTGCAAAGTGTTGTACTACTATTATAGGAGCTTTCCATTTGCAGATGGGACTTAAAGAATTTTGTTATAGTCAAAAATATGCGTAGCTTGAATGGCACGCTTGAGAAATGCCACATAAGTCATGAAATGTTAAGACTTAAATACTTTGGTAGTTCAAGGCATTAATTGTGAAGTGCACTGAAAAATGGCTTACTAGAACACCTGATGTTCTTGGTAGCTTTGGTGTTACTAAATATTTGGTGTGGTAGTATTGGTTTACTGTTTATATGCATGCCCCAATTGGTGAGTGGTCCTTCTACTGAGCTAACTACATAATAAAAGTTATCATGATCACAAACATCTGACTTTAGCGTGTTCTGGAATAAGCAAACCAAGTTGGATAGAGTACACTGATAAAATATGTTCATTTGAACTTAATTATGAAATCCAGACATCAAAGGAAGCAAAATGAAAACAGAGACAATTTCAGGTGTGGATTGAAATTTGTCTCCTTAATAGCCTCTGACCGTGAGTGCAGTTATGGGTGTCTTGAACAGCTCAGCACAGTCCCTGACTGTTGTTGTGTTTTGTCTTTTTTAATCTGCAGGCTAAATATTCTTGTGGCTTTTCTGTTCTGAGAACTAGTGGCAAATGTTCAGGCAGCCAGAATGCTCTCAAATGAGGCCACAGATTTGTACGAGGGAAAATAATATTGGCCTAAAGTATCTAGATGGTTTGAAACAGGTTCCAAAAAGGGTTTCTGTTATCTAAGAACAGAGAAAGCATAAAGAGAAGCAATAGAAGCAGTCAATGAGTCTTTATGGTTTAAACTTTGTTCTTAAAATTCTGAAGCTACCAGAGATTCCCGAGGTTCTGAAATATTAACCTGACACTGCTCCAAAAGCAAAGACTTCCCTGTTTGGCTTATGATGAGTGGGAGTTTTATGGATCTCTCCCAGCTTACTGGGCTGGATAGCCAAATGCTTTGTAATTGAGCTGTGGCAATCATTTGTAATGTGTAGTGAAGGAAAGGTGAGCAGACCCCATCTCCTTTCCCTCTTCCCCTCCAGGAAGTGTTGGAGAAAATACAGTAGTGTTGTGTTTGCTAGCAGAACATGCCCAGCCTTGCATATATATTAAGGCAGGCACTTAGCCAGAAGCTTTGAATTATTGTACCCTGACATTACCCACTGTAACTTTTAGCACTCTGGGCCCATTACTTTGGCTTCCTGCCCAGTAATGTGCAATTTCCACTTACATGAGAAGATGTAGCAGGAGTAATGACTCCTTGGAGGAGGTGTTTTCTTTTGCAGCAAATCAGCCCAGGGCCAGCAGGTGTAAGTTTATAGACACAGCCCAATAATGGCAGCCTGAGCTCTTCTGTTCCAGCAATGCAGCAGTACGTGGAGAGGAACAGACCTTTGCCCACTTGTCACTTATCCCCTGACCTCATTGCAAAGTCAAGTTCTTGTAAACAGCCATGCAAAAGCTCCATGATTTCCCTTTCTTTATTCTTTTCCAGGCATCCCAGAATGCACATCAGAACAGGGCTGATGGATGCCCATCTCTACTGTCTGAAGAAATATGTGGTAGACTTTCTGGTAGAAAACAGGTAAGAAACCAAACAACACACGAGGTGGTAGCAGGCACTTGCACTGACGTATGGTTTGCACCAGAGCTTTTAAAGGGATTTTTTCCCCATTAAATTAGCTAGCATAAAATAGAAATATAAAAGAAACCAGTTTTCAAAATATTTTAACTATAGTAAAAGGAATACCAAGTATTGTGTTTGAGTGTCTTGTTATGATCTTTTTGAAAACCAAAAGAATCCCAGCATAAGTGAACACTAACATTTTTGTCTCTTTTATGTATCCCTTCTTTTTCTAATGTATCTATTCTTTTTGGCTGCTCATTTTAGCAGGACTTCCTTATTGTTAGGCTTGTGAATACATTTCTGACCTTTGATTTCCCCCACCACAGTCTGTTTTGGTCTTTGCAGTCACCTTCCCTCTGCCCCTTCACATCCACCACCACTGCAGGTGGGCTATCTCTGTAGCATCCTATGTTTTAGCTTGTGATATTCCTCTGTCAAAACTCTGAGACCACCCACTGAGAGTAAGAAAAACATCCATTTATGGAAGTGGAGAAGGATCTTAGCTATAATATTTCATGAAACAGACAAAAAAAAACCCTGTTTGTCTTTTAAAAACAAACAAATGAACACTCCCCCTCACAGTAAGTAGTTCAGTTTTGGAATTATGTCCTGTTCCTAGACTTTTTATAGCCCTCTCATGCCCATTACATATACGGAATGCTCACTGAGTTCTCAAGAGTTTTTCTACCCTTTTAAGTAAGATAAAAGATACAGGGGCTAAGTGTTGTGTTCATAGTACATTTTCTTAGCAGATAAACTGACATGTGAAAAAACATTGAGGGTGGGAGATTTATGTTAGTCTTGACCATATACAAATCTGGTGATACAGCTGGATGCATGCTTGAAGGAGCTCTTCCAGAATAAGGGTCTGTGAGCGAGTTAAAATTAACTGGAAAATCTGTGTTAACCCTGAGGGCAGTTTCTTACCATGCATAAGAATAAGGCTTATCCAACACTTTGGTACACGGGGGACATTGTACAAGTTCTTTTAGTTCCTACTTGTGTACAGAAACCTGTGAAAGGTGAGAAAGTTTCAGGAGCATCAGATGCTTTAAACCTGGAATAAACCATTTATTTTGTGTATTTTAGAAAGTTGGTGAGGGTTTGGAATTCTCATGCTTCCTGTGGTAGCATGAAGCAGTGTTTACGCCTTTCTTTTGTCATAATACAGCACGTAGAACTCATTTCTTGAAATCCTAGCCCCTGGTTTTGCTGGGATTAGACATTTCTGGAGTATTAGACATTTCATATATTCAGTTATTTTTCCCTAGTATTTCATTTGGTTTTGACTTTAGATCTGTGGGACAAGGATGTTCTTTGTCAGATATGTCACTCAGAGAGTGACTTATCAGCCTCTAGGTGTAAACTTCAGATTTCAATTTTTTTTCTGCTATTTCAGTGGAAACTGGTGAGATCTTTGACTTTGTCAGTCAGGATTTCACCTTGTATTAACCAAAGCCAGTAGAGTAAAACTCTTCTAGTTGCCCCCAGATCTCCATAGAAGAAGACCACTGACTTTCTCCAAGTATAACCAACTGGGTTTGTTGTTTTTTGGTTTTTGTTTTTTTTTTGGTTTTTTTTGTTTTGTTTTTTGTTTTTTTTTTTGTTTTTGTTTTTTTGGGTTTTTTTGTTTGTTTGTTTGTTTTTGTTGTTGTTGTTGTTTTTTATAGCGAGGTTATTCTCTGTCTTCACTATTTTTTGAAGCTGTGCTGCTTTTCTGTGATACTTCCATGACAAATAGATCATTACAGCAGTTAGACAGCATTTCTTAAGACCTGATAGCAACATCTGGCTTACTGATGGTAGATAGCTGCTTCATTCTCTTTATTATACAAATACTGCTTATTCAGTCAATTGAGAGAGTCAGTTGCAAGTAATGTGCTTAACTGGCAAATCTGGGGAATGGGACTTTTGCCATGAGGAATAACTTCAGCTTTCAGACTTCTGGCACTAGTGGGCATGTGCAGCTTGTTTTTCTTCTCTGAGGAAGGGGAGGACAGTGCATACCCAAAGATCTTTCCATGTTTGGCAGCAATATGCCAAGACTTCTGAAAGACTCTGGGGATTTTTTTTTTTCGCCTCAAAAGTACTGACATCTACATAATTGTTTGGGTTTAAGGATTCATTTTAATACTTTGGGTTTTAGTCTAGAAAGAACCTACAGTAAGATTTTGCCTCTCTGCAATTCTGCACTAGGACTGGAGAAGCTCAGATGCCTTGTTTAAGTTGTGCGTGTTTAAAACTAACAGCAGGGACTGAAGGGAACAGTGAAGCTCTTGTACAGTGCCAGGAAGTACTGACACAGTGTACTTCCTCAATATTACAATATTTACATTGTGTTAATATTTTAACAGCGGGGTTTGATGGCAGGCAGAACACCTTTTTTCATTGTTTGTAGCTCAGTGAAGCATTTACATTTTTTCAAATTTTTTTTGACATACAAAAGTTTAAAAGATGTTGCCCAGCAGTAGAAAATTCAGTTGCTACAACTGGCTTTTGTAGAGAAAAATTATGATTACTTCCAGGTTGAAGCATTATGTGAAAACTAATGTGATTATCTGTATGGAATCTGTTTCTTCTTCAGTGAGTCCCAGCTTAGCTGCAAAGATATGGCAAGAACAAGCTCTGCCTGGGTGAATCTAATTTGTTTATAGCTGTACCTGTAAGAGTAATTGGCATTCAGTTTAATATATGTGTTGTAGATAAAGTACAAAGTCACAAGCAACTAATATGAAAACAGGGAAAAAAACCAAAACGTGAAATGCCTAAACCTTGGTTCTAAGTATATAAATCTTGCTTTAGGATTTGGAACAACTTTGTTGAGTGGCAGCTTTGGAAAAAGGCTGAATATTCAGCTCCAAGATGAAGTCATGATACCAAGAGTTTTTTCATCAGCTTTACCACTGTCTTGCTTTGTGGTACTAGACAGATCCTTTGATTTCTCTATGCACTTGTTTCCTCTTCTGGGTGGGATTGTTTGGAAAATAATCAGTATTGGCTTGGCAGCAGTGAGGTTCTATGATGAGGGATGTTAGGAGAGGTCAAAATACTGTTTGGTAGCCTATAACTCAGTTTGTAGTCCTTTAATACATTTTTATGAACTATTTTTAAAGGCCTGAATTTATGATTATCCTGCCTGAAGTTTTATTGCACTATAGCAAATCAAATTCTTGAGTTTTAAAAGGCAGAACTCGCTAGTGCCTTTGAATAAAAGTCAGAGGAAATATTCTGTTTATTAGAACACCCTCAAATATGTAGGTCCAGACAAAAATAAAAAATACCATGCCCCTAATGTAATTTAAACCTGGGGAATTTATTTTTCAGGAATGAAACTGCTTTTTCTTTCCTCTCCTAGGAGGAAAAAATGCATATTGGCAGTTAAATCTCCATCTTTCACTCATCCACTAGTTCAGCACTGAATCCTAGTGAAGTCAAGTGTGCAAGGGTCCTACCCTGTCCAAATCTGCCAAGCTCAAATGCTCATGGTTCCATGCTGGCTTGGGCAACAGCTGAAGAAATTCTTGCCCATAGCAGTTTGTTTCCTACAGCTGGAATTTTTTCCTTCTCTTCTTTCCGTACTTGTGCTTCACGAGGGTAGGTTGATTAAAAAGTGCTCTTTAACCAGCTGCACTGGCAGCCTCTGCACAGGGGTGCCAGTGTGGGACTGGGAGCTCTGCCTCGGATGAACGTCTCCATCCCTGCATCTGCAGTGGATACCCAATCACTGGTGACTTCTGAGTCTGTCCACATGGGATTCACAGACCATACCCTGCTACCAGCCAGATTTATCCTGTCTGAACAGGAGCTGTGACCTCAGTGTGAAGCAGCTCTTGTTTGGCTGAATTTTCTGCTGGTGGTACCTAGCTCTAGGGTTTATTTCAGCAGAGGCCTTTGATTCTTCACCAGGTTCTTTTCTTCAGGAGTGAAATTGGAGTTGCTGAGGTCAGTCTTGGTGGAGAGTGTGGAGTTGTATCACACCTGCACATGGGAGGGAAGTCAGTTAAAAATACGAGCTCTTTGCATTTAGGTGAGAGCTTTCCTTTCCTCAGCATTTCCTCTTTCAGAGCAAAGCCAGCCCGTGGATCTCATAGCTGCCACGCTCTGTGGCGTGAGAAGAGAGGCGAGCAGAGGCTGTGCGTGCTGCTGGAGCTGCTCTGCCAGCCCAGGCAGGGACAGTTGAAGGTGAACACCTGCACCACACGATGAACTGCACAATATTGCTGTTCCTAAAGCGATCGTTCCACGCGCTGAGCCAGCAGTGAGACAGAAGCAGAGGCTGTAGCTGGCTGGGGGCACGGCTCCACCCCACAGCTGGCGGGCCTCACACCCCTGGGGCCCTGGAGTGGCAGCCAGCACAGTAGCCAGTCCCTTTTTTGGCACTCTCCTGAGTGCTAGGTTGGAATCCTGCCTCGCTGCTGCATTCGGAGCAGATGGAAGAAGAGAGTCCTTATTCCCTTTCCCCCTGAACTCCACGTGTAGCAGAGGGCAGGATGCGGACCCGTGCCGTGCGAGCCCCGCGTGCCTCACAGACATGTGCTGCTATTTCATTGCTGTGTGCTGACAGTTGGCTTGCTAACAATCCCAGCAGAGCTGCTGCCAGGAGAAACGTGATCAAAGGGAAGTTGCGTGGTAGCTTGTGTTCTGCTTTTCCTGAAAATTTCTAAAGCTTCGGCCTGGTGAAGTGAGATACATAATTGAGAGGAGGGCAGAGGGGAGATAGGTGTAGAGCAACCCCTTTCCTTGTAAAGTTTTAACATGGAAAATTCAAACTTGCTTTGGAAATTTAAGTCTTGAAGATATGTCTCTACATATCCTGTGAATATGCTTAAGAACATACCTAATATGCATTTATAATACATGTATACATGAATAGCCTTGTGCCCAAAGTCAGTTGTGCAGGTACAGATGGTAGCATTTGTTATATTTGTTAGAATTTTACCCCCATGCTCACAGCTGAA